CGATTCCATACCATCAGGTGATCCGTCTGCTCGTTTACCGGCTTATGGCATAAAAAAAAATACCCATTTTTAGTTAATTATCCGAAATAATGCCCATCTCTTCCCTACCTATGATATTTATGTATCAGAATCCAGATTTTAAAGTTAGTAGTAGTTCTTATTTTGCATTCAATAATAGGAATACATATTTTAATGATGTAGGTACAACTTTGTACAAGTTTGTGTTTACATACTTAATAAACTCATCATCTTCCTTCTCCTCCCTGGCTCTCCTTTCGTCCGATGTCTCCGGTTGGTATTGTTTGAGCATCCCCTCAAAGTCCACTGCATGCTGTCTTCTGTTCAGTTCCTTCAGTTCTTCTAATCCCTCTAGAGTCTCTATCTCTTGTTTTGATTGTTCTGTCCTGTATTCTGAAATTCATTACAATTCAAATTTTAAAACTATTATTTGAACTTGGTTAGTATTTTTTTTTATTTTAAAGTGGGTTACGACTTTATATTTCATAATCACTTAGCTGTGGTAATTTAGCTTGAATTCTGTTATCATTATTATTAATTTTGAATCTATAAACGCATACTGTGCTGGTTCTTGGTCTCTGTACTTGTTCTCGCACAATCCAAACAACAAAACTATGTAACTAGAGAATTGTATTGTGAACCTGATTGAAAAAGAGTAACATATGGAGTTTCTTGCTTGCTTGTTTCTTCTCCAAAGGAATCTACACCTTGGAAAGAGGCAAAAGCTTCGATTCCTTTTTTTTTACATTTAACAGTGCCTTTCTGGTCTAATTGAAATATATGATTTTGACTTGACTTGAATACACAGATCTATGTGAGATAAAATGAGTTTTATGTTGTGTCTCTCATATAAGAAGTTGAGCTAAATTGTTGATTAGTACCTATAAGTGTTTATTTGTGTAGAATTAATTTAAATTTCCATATGCACTTTAACTGCCTCATTGGCCGAGAAGTCGCAAGTGCGACTGCCGGACAAAGGGTGTCAGGTTCAATTCCCGGGTTGGGCCAAGTAAGTATTACTGGGCTTTTAAAAAATTCTCAGTAGTAGTATGGAGCCTGTAATTGTGCCCGGTATATGGCAATAAGCTCACCCCCTATTACATGGGACTCATAACATAAATACTGAAAAGTGGGTGTTACATTGTACCGAGGCATAATGCACCTCTGCCTACACTATTGGGCATAAAAGGCGTGATGTTATGTTATGTACTATATATAATTAAATCAATGCTATGTTTTATTGGCTTGGTGCTCTACTTGTTTCAAGCCATTTGAGGAACTCATAGAAACACATGACGTCACAATTATCAATGTGTGAATATCATGCAGACTGCTCACAGCATTATAAATTATCTTTGTAATAGAGAGTACCCTTTTAATCAAACTTTTAGTAAAATAAGTCATTAACTCCATTTAACAGTTTCTTAGTACTGCAGTAGTACCTAAATTATAAATAAAGGTTTTTATATTCATACCAAGAAGCTTCATAGGATTATTAGCTTCTTCCTCCTTTTGCTCCTCTTCCTCACGCTTAGCTTGCTCCTCGGCTAGTTTCAGAGCCATGAAGTTCCTTGTAGCACCCGCCTCTATCTCATAGTCTGTGTTCTTTGGGTCCGTCTTGAAGGAAATTTCTTGAAGACACCTGGTACACTGGAAAAATAATGTTACCATGATAATTATTTTGTTTACTAATATCATAAAACGGTACTTTTGAGAACTGATGTTTCAATTATGTCAAACAATTAAAAAATAATATTTACATACATATTTGTAAGATATACAGCATAAAATGCTTGTTACGCTGGTACTATACAGACTTAAACTTACCAAAGGTTGAATATCACAAACTTAAGATTGCAAATGATAATTCATTAATGATTATTATGTTTAATTTAAGCTGTATAGACTGTGTTTTTAAGAGATATTTAGACTTTAAAGTTACTAACAATAAATCTAAATACTTTAATGTGGTTGAAGGCAACCAAACGTGCAATATCAAGGAAAGAGCAACTTACTTTGATATAAAACCTATAAATTCTGATACCGAGGTAGTCCTCATTTTCAACATCCTCCTTTCTGGCGTTAAACTTCTTTCCTTTGTAAATGTACTCGCCACAAGTTGCACATCGCATGTTGAAAGGTGCCATCAATCGTACAGTGTATTGACGATTTTTAGCTAATTTCATGCGAGGGATTTTCGAAGGATCGAAATCCGGAGGATAGTATTTCTGTAAACATGTTCACAATGATTTTTAAAACTGTCATGTACGATTAATCTAATAACACTTTACCCATATTTCTGACGAATCATGTTATGTCCTACTTACGTTTAATACTTTTCTCTCCGACATTTTTAGGTGTTATAATTATTTATATTTTATATAAATTTAGTAAACAGGCACGATCAAGTTCCACGAAATAAACTATAGTGGACTTATTGTCAGTGTCAGATTGACAGTGACAGTGGCATTTCAGAGTGCGTTTAGTTAATATCAGTTGACCTGCACCTGCAGTATGTACAATTAAATAAAGCGGCATAAAAATGAAACAAAAAAACAATCTATTTGCAAAGCATATAAAAGTCGGACTTTATAAACAAAAGCTAGATAACTATTCATAAATAAGTCTATACTAATATTTCACCTACCTAAACGCAGTCACGTTGCACCACCCATTTTTTTTATGGGGGGAAAATCATAGAATGACTACTCCCGCCTGCCTGGGTGAGGCGGGAGGTAGTGTCAGACTGTTACTGACTAAAAACCACCCCGTTCCTTCTCCTGCACTTCAAGCCGGAGTCCCGGTAACCCGTTAGGTTCTAAGCGACTCCAAAAAGTAAACTAAAGTTAACCTACTTTGAGACGACAAGGTTCTATAGTACTCTATCTATACACCGTTAAATTTTAGTCGTTTTAATCCCATGGACCTGTGGTTTAACTAACAGAATACTACTCATTACAAGCTTGTACTGCGGTGTAACATAAAAAATAAATAAATTAGCAAATGATAAGATTATACTCGCAAAATGTATGAAACCAAAAGTTGCGCCACGAGATAGTACGTCGTCGTCGGTCGTTGCGTATCGTCGACGGTCGGGCAGTGTAGGTACCTACACGGCGTTGACTCGATCAACTGATGTTTGCGAGTCCACGTTGACCAGCGACCGCGTCAATGTTGTTAGGTTGTTACTGATAGGAATGCTGCCTACTAACGGTTCGCATTATTTATTCACTCATGCGAGAATTGATTCGAGTTATTAATAAAAAAGTACTTTATTTTTTAATTTTATCTTTACAAATCGATAGTGTTTCATGGACCAGTTCGAACCTCCAAGAGATTAAAACGATTCAAATTTAACGGTGTAGACACCAGTTCAAAGAGTATATAGTTTAGGTCTGAGGCACCAGTTAGAAGTACTCAAATCCTTTGAGAAGCATCTTATGAGGCTTATCAATGATAATGCCGTTGTGGAGCTGCTCCAAAGCCTTGTAACTTTATGAGCTTTACAAGCCTTATGAGCTTTTAGAGGATATATTTATATGTGACTTGATTCCCCCAGTCCATTTCACCTTGGCTGATGGCACCACCAGACAAATAGAGAAGACGAATGCCCAGGCCTTAGTACAAGTTTGTTTTACGTTTATATGTAGTAATCGAAAGTAGTCGGGTAACTAGATCGCGTTCGGCGCTTTGATTGGCCGGCTTCAATGAACCAACTAATCAAAGCGCCGAATGCGATCTCGTTTACTAGGCCCTCAGATCTCTATCCCTTTAACCGCCAAGATTCTGAACTTTCAACTTACCTCCAGCGCCACGTCACTTTAGGTATAAGTTGGAACAGTGTTGAGAACACTTAATATCGATGCATATATTCTTTATTAATAAAAAAATTAAAATCAATGTTTTATTTACCTACTTAATAAATAATCTAAAAATTTTCAGTCTTCAATCGAAGTGTACGAAAATGAGTACTCGGGAAATGGGCACGGCGTCGTCCGTTCTCCTGCTGGCGACGGTGACGATGCTCCACGAGCATGTCGTATTAAATTTAATATTTTCATGTAAACTTCTGAGCGGATTTCCGACCGTACGGTTTCCAGCTCAAAAGGTTTTTAAGATGTAAAGTATTCATTTCGTGGATCACTTGGTCTCTGATCAAAAACTTTTGCGTCACCATCTTCTAACTTTGCATAATGGACACATTTGGTTTTGAATGTGTTGATTTATTTGACGAATAACAAAAACCTAAAAAAGGGGGTACAACACTAGTTGCATTGAGCGATAAATGCTTAACGTGATTTTACGGTGACGGCGCTAAGGCAACTCACAATACAGCGCTATAATCTCCTTGGCCGCACGTAATACTTATTACGGTGATGGCGACCGGCGACTGTCTGCACTAGTGCGGTTCTGCGTTATGAAATTTTTATATTATTGTTATAAAGATTAAATAATTTTAAACTTAAATACATTTTAATAAGTACAAGTACCTACTTGCATCAAAGTAACACTATTGTTATTTATGTGTAGTGACAGTAATATCTATAGTGCCTTGTTGGTTCTTAGACAACCTATTAAGTATTTTTCGAATTCGCCCCATCCCTAGTACTCGTAAAATTACGTGATTGGCCGTACAGATAATGGAGACGGTGACCACAATTTAATTAAACTTCAAATTTCACAGTATTTATCATTTAAAACATTGAGAAATATCCATAACAATAAAGATTATACCCTACATCTTGAAATTGACACATTTTATATGGAGTTTGTGCACTATAAGATTTTTAATAAAATAACGTGATTGTATGTAGGTATGTGGCGATTCGGACACAGCTTCCGCGGCTCCGTTAATCAATCGATTATATGCTTAAATACGTAGATATATTCAAATACGCATCATCATTATCACTTATCCTTAAATTTTAATTCTTTGTAGTGACTTAATATTACCTAAACTAAAATTAAAATAATAAGGACAGTTTAAAAATGAATGGCAAATCATTGATTTAATTAAATAATACAAATAATTTATTATACAATGTTAGGTACATAATACTGAAGTCAAAGCATAATAATAGAGTGTAACATTATGTTATAAACATTGTTAACAAGACCTGACAGAGTCCAAACAGATCTCTAATAATTATTAGAGAAGGTACATAATTAATTAATTAATTAGCAAATTAAAAAAAATATGAAGTTGAATACTCACAAATATTCTTTTATAATAGAAGACTCACATTAACAGGAAATTTTACATTGTAGGTAGTACTTATTCTACATATCATTGACACAAGTTTCATATACACAATAGATTTGTCTTCAATTGTCATATTAAACTGTGACCGCTCTTCGACCGACCACCGACTGTGTCACCGCTGTCACAACTGTTAGACAATTATCTAATATGCTGTGATTTATATACCAATCATAAAAAAAACTACACACTATCAGTACGGTATTACTTATATGATTAAAACCTCTTTTTAAATTATTTAAAGCATGAGTTCATATTGAGATAATTTTGATGGTGATATTTCATATTATGAGAAGGTCAGGTACCAGACCTACTTCTCTACCCAAAGAATCTTAATTTTATTAGGTTTAAGAGGAAAATCGCCTAATTCTCTGATTACAACTGTTAATTTAAATTGTGATTTTATAGAATTTGATAAAAAGTTTTTGAAAGGTACTCCATTGATTTCCTCCTCAATAGATGAACAATGAATAGCTCGCATTGGTACATCATAGTATTCTTTATCAAAAACAGGCTTAAGACAGCAGAACTTCCTTTCTATGTCTGTACCTTTGTCTACAAGGAACAGGGTTGCAGTATGTTCCTTATTGTTAACAGCCTTTATAACGGCGCGTTCGAAACAGTTTCCATCAATTTCCACAGCACATGGTTCTCCTATAACCATATTGAGATGGTCCGTAGATTTATCTTTACAATATGCTGACACATCAATATTCTCTTTTGATTGATCACTATCACTAATTTCAGAAAAATAGAAGTTGTTTAAAGAGTCTCCTCCAACCACTTTGCCCAACAAGATATCTCCTACACGTAACTTTTTAGGTTTATAATTTAATATGAGTGTCATTTTACTTTTTGTTGATGAATAAGTCTTATTTACTTTTCTTGGTTTTGAGAACACTGTTAAGTCATATAACACCAACAGGTGAGACAAATCATAAACAGAACCTAAAGGCATTATTTCAACCACTAGAGCATCTTTAGTTTTATTAACTACATGCATCATTGCTGGACCATCACCAAAGAATAGATTCATTTTTTCTTTGATATCTGGTTCAAAATCATCTCCTTTAGGTTCGCATACATGTAACTGACAGTGAACTGCCAATCCAGGGCAATTTGAATGCGGGATCTTCAAGTTTAGAGGATGTATATTTTTAATCTTCACACCAGTATCCATGCAACCATAATCAATTGCAAATATATCACATGTGGGATTTGCTTCTTCACTTATGCGACATATTCTTCCTCTAACCAGTTTACCAAGTGTTTTAGACTTATAAATTATTCTTTGATTGTTAACAGGCGTATGAACTGCATCTATTCTTGGAGTTTCAATGGCTCTAATATTTTTGTACGTAGCAGAGCGAACATATATATTTTTTGGATTAGTAAAATGTGTTATTACAACTCTGTACTCGTGACCAATGTGAAATTCTGTTGGTTCTAGCATGGCCATGATCGAAGAAGTATAATAATTCTGAAATAAGAGAAAAACAAAACTTTTAAAACAAAAATACAGATTTATAGGCAGTTTATAGAATAGCTATTATTATATTACAACACTTACACATTGAAGCTAAAACCGATCAAATAATTTATGGTAATTAACTATTACTTAATTAATAATAAAATATATACAACTTAAGATTAAAATTATGTAAAAGAAAAACAAAAACAACTATTTACCTAGAGCATCGAAAAATTCGTCCGCATCGACGTCAGTGGGGAAAGTACCCAGAAGGCTGGCAGCATTGCCACGTGGTAATTTAATTTTAGTAAATGTAGCTACTTACTTTTTTTATTTATATGTTAATAATTTGGTTCACTTTATATCAGAGAATGTTTATTTATCAACAGAACATTGATTGATGGATTGAACAGTGACGCTGACGCTGGCTGACCGGCTGACGTTTCACTCACGTTTTGTAATTTGAAGTTGACTTGACCGTTGAACAAGTTTCAACTATAGATTATCCAAAGAAAAAAAACTATAGACTAGATTTATTTATATATATTTGGAACAAAGTAATTTGGAAATTTGAAGCATAGAGATGTAGTGCCAATAAAATTCTACCAAAAATAGGAATCAAATCTATTTAACTCGTCGAGTACCGGTGTTGTAGACACAATTATAGAACAATAGGTTGCGGTCACCGGTGACCGCTTGGTGTTTGACAGTTTAAGCAATATAAATTATATTATTATTATTTCTTTTATTTATTCTTATATACTTCTATACTTGACTTTATTTTTATATTTTTAAATATTTCATTATATAAAAAAAGAACATTTAAAAATATAAAAAGCAGTAGCCCACCAATAACGGGACAAATCCAAGCTACCGGTGGTCAGGGCTCCAGAGAAAGGAATTTCCGGACAATACCGTACCAATACCGCAGCCGTGTCCAGAAGTACTGCTTTCTGCATCAGGCCCTTGACCCAACCATCTAACGCTAGCCTACTCAGATGTTGGTCGAGGCTTTTAGCAATGAGGCCATTGGCAGACACGACTATCGGCACCATGAGTGCTGAATCCACATCCCACATGTCGACAATCTCATGAGCTAAATCAAGATATTTAAAGAAAGAGAAAGAAAAAGCATTTATTTGGTACCTAAATGGCACACAAACAAAGATTATGAAAAATAAAGATACAGATACTTACATAAATACATAATAAAAAATTATCAAAATATAACATAATAATTAACATACAATACAAACAAATGCAATGAGTTTTTGATATAAAGAAAGATAAATATTCGAAAAAAAAACTAAACATAGATATAATATAATACCTCTACATTGTAATATTGTAGTGTGTGTGCACATGCCAAAAGGGCCTCCACCTCAGCATATAGTTGGGCATTCCTGCCCAACGCTGATTTTCAGGTGGCACCCTGCTGTGACTCAAGGACGGCGGTACCGCCCCTCAAAATAAAATAAATTCTGCAGAATATGTGTGTGTGTGTGTGTGTGTGTGTGTGTGTGTGTGTGTGCGCGCGCGTATGTGTGTCAAAAGTTGTGATTAGAAAAATGTATAGATCTAATAGTACCTAAATGTAAATACAAACAAAATGTAAAAATGCACTTTCTATATTTACTCTCCTTTAATTAACTGAGGGTATCCATATTTTTGGGTTGCCAAACCCAAATTTACTTGCTTTAACTTTTTCAGCTTTCACAAGATTGTCGTCATGTGGAATTGTTATAACAACTATCATTGTGCGACGGCTTGGTCGATCTATCACCACAATATTAGGTTTGTTTGCAACAATTGTCCTGTCTGTGATGATAGTTCGATCCCAATACAGTGTGACATCCCAATTTTCAAGAACTGGGTCAGGCAGATACTCATAATACGGCACTTCAGATTCTACAAGTTTATATTTCAAAGCAAGTTGGTGATGAATAATCCTGGCTACAAGATTATGTCTATGCAAGTATTCTCCATTAGTTAGGTGAGAACAACCCGAAATTATATGCCGGATGGACTCCCCGGGACGATGACATGCCCGACAAATGTCAAAAACCCTCCGTTTCTCCAAATAAGTTACTGAAACGTAGCCAGGATACGGACGCCAATAAATCCGTATTTATTAATTATTATTATCTATTATATTTTTCAGCAATGACGTACTGGCCCCAGATATGCTTAAAACTCTGGAGAGCAAACGCCCGGCCCCAGTAGATGGTCTCTCTTTTCCGGATCCTCCAGAAGTAGATATTCATACCCTATCTGTTACAAGTCTTCACTACCTCACAGCGCTTCACTGCCTCAGGCGTCCCGCTTCCTCCTTAGCTAGTATGACTGCTTCGCAAAAGGAGGAGACGGCATCAAAGTCCCCCTCGCTCCGCATCATGACCCGCACTGGAACCGGACGCGAGAGGTCGCCATCACCGATCACGTCCCTGAGGGCACGGCGGTGCTCGGCCCACGCAGGGCATTCCGCTACAGTGTGTTCCACCGTGTCCTCAGGGCAGTCCTCGCAGTGATGACACCCGGGCGTTTCCTCCCGCTCCATCAGACACAGGTACCACCCGAAACTTCCATGTCCGGTGAGGACCTGCGTCAGGCGGTACGTGAGGACGCCTCAGCGTCTCTCAAGCAGTGGCTTGAGGAGTGCCTCAAAGAGGGGACTTACCGCTGCAATGGCAGCGAGCACAACCTTCGGTTGCGACAGTCGTTGCCGTCATTCCGCCATGAGATCGCGCCGGAGCTCTTCCCGCCACGCACTTATCTGGCACGGCAGCGGAGTTTCACCCCGGCGCGCGACGTGTCTCCCCGCGCATGCGATACACGCACGCGAGCACCTTTACCTCCAGATACAACGGCGGTAATCCCGCAAGGAGGTTCGCCGCCTCCCCGGAGATCGTGCGCCATGACCCTCTATGACATGAGCAGCGCCCGAGCGGGCAGCCGCATCAGGCTCGGCACCCACACAGGGGTGCCGTAGAGGGCCATGGACCGCACGACCCCGGCGTAAATTGAGTATTGCTTAAGTTTTAATGTTGTTAGTTCCTCAATCATTTGTCGTCATTCTTAAATAGACTAACTAAAGGTACAAGAATGGCTCGATTTGTTTAAGCTGCACACCTAGTATACTTATTAGAACGGGAAAAAAGAGATTGCGCGTACGAAGTCGCGAACAGAAGTTAGTCTATGAATGAAAAGACGTAATGGTAGTTGCCATTTGTTACTCTACTTATGACTTAAGAATGGCTAAATTAAATTGGCTAAAAATAGGTGGGGAGGTAGTTTAGAACCAGGAAATGGACATGGGATACTTAGTTTTTATCCAAAGAATTCCTGAAAATACTACGGTATCGGGACAAAACGAGATTGCGCGTACGGAGTCACGGGCAGGAGCTAGTTGGTAATAAAACCACAGACAATAAAGGTTTTATTTAGTTCGAAATTTTTGAAACTCTTGTAACTTTTTTTTATATTACAGTACAGTCTGTTCATTGATGGTTCATTGCTATAAAATTACTTATACATCCATGACTTAATCATGAAAATACGAGGGCGCCACAGTCGGCACATTTTTTTTTTTTTTTTTAAAGGGGGGAAAACAATCGAATGATTGCCCCCGCCTGGGTGAGGCGGGAGGGAGTGTCAGACTCTTACTGACTAAAAACCACCCCGTTCCTTCTCCTGCACGTCGAGCCGGAGCCCCGGTTACCCGTTAGGTTCTCCGCGACTACAGTCGGCACATAGCAATCCCTACAGTGCGACTGAAATAATATTGATACTAGCAATAAATCGAACGACCTATACTAGAAGTAATTGAATTATAAAACACTAGCTGCGGCATTGCTCGCGTTACAAAAGGATAAAAAGTAGCCTATGTGACATATTAGATATATTATAACGCTAACCTGTGGTCTAGGTCGGTCAAATAAAAGAAAGACGTTTTCATAGAAGAATAATAATTATATTTTATTACTTATATTACTTAACCTTATACTTATGTTACTTATATATATTATTACTTATATTATTAATTATATGACTACCTAAGTATGGTCGTTTTACTTACTGTTCACATAACCACAATTTCTTATTGTATAGTTAGGTATATTTTAGGTAGGTACATATTATATCTTATAACAAAATGAGGCACTGTTAGGCGGCAATAATTGAATATTATGCAGATACCTCCTTAGCCATGTATGTCAAATAATAATTTGTAATGTTTACGTATTCAATGTTATAAAAGAAAGCTGTGTTAGTTACACTACTTATAACTCAAGAAAGGCTACATCGATTTGAATTACAATTGGTGGGGAGGTAGCTTAGAACCTGGAGACGGACATAGGATATTTTTCATCGAATTTTTTTATTTACTTTTCACCGAAAATCACGAACGGGATGTGGAAAGAACGGGATTGCGCGTACGAAGTCGCGGGCTGAAGCTAGTATCTTATAAATATTATTATAATAATATTGTTAAATTAAATGTCTTATAATGAAAATCGACAGACAAACTAGAATCATCAATAGACATGCGAGCCGCCATAAAACACACAAATATATTATAAAAAATGTTGCTTCACTTGCTTTTCAAAATTGTTTTGTAGATGCATTCTTACTCACATACACCGTCATACACGTCACACTGGGACAGTAATCGAACCCATGCTATATATGTTGCCTCGCGGTGCACTGCGCCAGATGTGCAATTGATTAGATATACAGAAATCCGAATAAATTAATATTTTTCTGAAGACAGGACTAATTTTAACTGTTTATAACATATGTTATTCCATTGCATTTCCCACAGTTGTATTGCTTTCTAATATATTGACGTTTACGCCACGCAAGAAGGTCAGATGTTGCTGTAGCAAGCGTACTATCGTCGATCTCCAATCTTTGCCCAACATACTCGTTAAATCTTTCAAGAAGGAAAATAGATACCCTCATTATTATGTCTTCATCCGGATTCACATAGTTTAACTGGATCACTTCATTTTTGCTCAAAATTGAGATAATTTTCAAACAAAGGTCCATAAAGATATCGCATTGTTGCTGCGAATATTTAGCAAGCCCCATTTCCAAATGATCTACTGTGATTTGTTTAACCAAGATTTTATGAGGGCCTATCTCTAGCTCTTGGCCAACTTTTAACGTTTTCAAATTTCCAAAATAGGTCTTCATATATTCATCAACCTCACTCCAGGATTTATTGTCAGTATGTTCTCCTTTTGAGTGGTCTATAAAATATTCTATAATTTTCTTCTTGAGTGCTAATAAGGTTTCTCTGTCAATTCTACCATCGCGTATGTAGCGTTTTAAGGCCGTCATAAATACACCATCATTTTCATTGACTGTTATTTTTGATCTCAAATGACAAAATATGAAGAGTACCAATCGCCTCTTCCAATCAGGGAAAATCGACTCAAGAAACTCTATTTCCACAGGAATTAATGAAGTGACCATTTCAGTACATAGCAACAAAAAAGCCTGATGTAAATCTTCAGATATGAGCGAAAGTAAGCTTAAAATAAATTCTTCGTCAGATTTACTCAAATGTAAGAGAAATGCAGAAATTTTGAGTATCTCTTCTGAGCGGATAGTGCATGCCAGCTCTGTGGCGGGTACATTCGAGTTACTGGCCACCACGTACGAGGGGTATATTCTTGTTGGAGCGTTCTTGCTCGTTATCTTTGCAGGTCCGTATTTTGCTAGTAATTGATCTCGACCATTCGGACCAATTTTATATATCTTGGAGAGACTCACTTTGTGTTGATTATTTATAATCACTTTCCCATCTGAACTCAATGATATCCTTACTTTATTTTTATTGAAAGCCTTATTCATGTACTTCAGTTTTCCAAAGAACTCGTCCTTATTATTTATTGTCTTAAGAGCTTTAATGACATCAGTGTTGCCATCTATAGTGCCTTTTAGTCGCCGGGTCTCGGCTGTGATTTTATCAAATATTCTCCTGTAAAGAATTTGTATAAATGAACATAAAATGAATTCGTTAAAATAATTGGAGAGGCGTAAGAATTGTCTTGTGGTAAAGAAAAATGATGGACACATAACATAACATTATGGGTAGGCATAGATGCACATCACGACACTTAATGCCACTCTACAATGGAACACCTACTTTCCACTATTTATGTTATGAGTGAAATAAAATATGGGGGTGAGCATATACGTATACGTAAATGATGATTAGGTTACCTTTTGTTGTTGCTTGACAACGAATCTCGAATTTCATTTATTTTGTTAGCTTGTGCGTCCTGAACGATTTCTTGTGCAGTTTGGTTTGACATCACACCAATGCCAAGGAAAAGGAAGGATGTAGTGACTTGGAACACTTCGAGTGTCGACGGTGTCTTACCATATCTCGTGAACTGTAAATAAATAAATATCTCCAATGAAAGTCTTCTACAGTGTTTAGTGAGGAATGACTAAAACATGGTGCGCAAAGTTGCTACCTGATTTTGGAGAATAAAAATATTGAATATTATGTTACATAATATATTTATTACATACCTTATATATCATATCTCCCAGGCCGTTGGCTACACCAATGAATCCAGTCGCAATGTTAGTAAACCTTAGAAAGTCTAAGGCACTCATAAGTATCTGAAAAAAAAAGATATAAAATTTCGTATTATAACTTTCACGAGACATACTAAATTAGTTTTTAAGTCCATCGGTCCTCTGGATAAGGGTATACATACCTCTGTATGTTTCCTTTATACTCTTAAAATTATAATATACATATGACTATAGGTAGTTAGGTAACTTTTTAAACTGATATACTCATAATTATATTATGGTTATTAAGTCAGTACAATTTGAAAATTGTTAATACCTTGACATTTCTCCCGGTGGCCGCAGCCCAAGTCAATAATTTTCCAGCTGCAGTAAAGGACAAACCCACAGTAGATATCATAATATTTATCCAGTTAGAGCGAGCTTCCATATTGTCTAAGCCGATGCTCTAAAACAAAAACACAAACTATAAAATTACAACAACCTATTGAGCAGGTAGGAGTAGCCCAAGAAGGATATATATATATATACTGAAGATCATTGAAAGGATCCGGAACAAGGCTCGGTGAGATGTATTACTAGATGCAATAAAGTGAAGTTAAGTATGTGTATAGGTAGATATCAATTTCATCACCCCATAGACGAAGAAGTGAGTTTTAAATCGCTCACTTCTAATATGAATGTGTGTTGATAATACATTATTTACCTGCTTATGCTGAGCTCTGTCGACTAAGGTTCCAATCGACCTTCCGATACCGTAAACTCCTGACACGGTGGCAACTCCTACAGCTGTTCCAACCATCACTGGGGCTACGGCGGGAGCCGCGAACAAGGATCCCACCACAGCGACCAACGCCCCAACATTAGCCGCTGGAAATATCGTGGAATAAAATAAAAAAATAGAAGGAAGGTCTTCAAAATGAAAAATAGTGGAAAGTGGAAGCAATGTATTTACTAGCCCTCAAAATGTTTCATATGTAATTTAGAGAACATCTCAATGTAGACATTAGGTATTATATAGTGGAGTGTTACAGCAACCTTCTCTTAAGTTAATGTCCTAAAACGGGTTATTAGGATTTTTGGCAGATCCTTGGAGGATTACTTAGATAGAGTTAAGATATTCTGAAATACCTGCACTTATATTGTCTGCAACACTAATCACTTGTGCTTGAGTACCCAATTCCGGTGAACCTCTTATTGTAAGGTTTACTTTCGGCATTTCACCTTCCTGATGACCAATATTTTATTATTTGATGATGTCATATTACATAGTGTCACAGTATTAAGATAGAGATATGTCCTTGATTTTTATACTATCAATTTAATTTTTTTATTGTACGTAGGTACTTGCACAGAATAAAAAATGATACTCGGTTTAAAAGGTTTAGCTTACCCCTCCAACTATGGTTCCAGAATATTCTCCGTTCCGAGGAACAACCATCACACATTTCGGAAGTTTGTTGTTAGTCAGATAATCGTCCCAGGATTGATACTCTCTGCCATCGTGGTCAATAAATACTTTGCATCCTTTTACTGTAATTTGGGAAAGGAACCTTAATTTTAAGTCGTTGTTTTTATTGAAATTGCTATCGCCATTTTCAGTACGTCTAGTAGCAATTGGTACTGGACTGGTAAATAACTTAAGTAGCTAGGTATTTATTAAAGCAAACAAAAATAATTAAGTCTTTTAAGTCCTTCTTAGTTTTCACGTAAGTAGTAAGAATAAAGGGATATACTTTATTAAAAACAAAAATAACAAAACTTACCTTTGTGATTCATAGAAATGCATTTCCTTATACTGAACACGTGAAATACTAAGATGTGAACAGAATCGCCTTTCTTCACGTGAAGATTGAGCCAATAATCTTTGGGTGTCATTTCGAAAAATTTTATTTCTCGTCTCGGTATAACGCAGACCACGCGAAGGACAGATATTATAATATTTTCACCATTGTGTGAATATTTTGCTGAAAAATTAAAAAGGAACGTTAATCAAAAGATGTTTATGCAATTTGATTCTTAATATCAATATTTACACAAACCTGAAGTAAAGTAAAGCAGTGACTCATAACTGAAATTTTGTGGATATAATCGTGCTCGATTCAGAAAAAAATAATCTTCATGTCCCTAATGTTTTGATTTGATTAAATTATAATACATAACTATGTAAATAACTTCATAATTATACTGATCACCTTGTTCTAAGATCCGATTGAATACATTCATGCATGTATCTTCGTCTAGAGCTTCGTATCCTTGCAATTTGAGTTCATCATTATCATTCGTAGATTCCATTAAGTTGCCTTCAATCGTCGGTGGTCCGCAAAGAGCAACTGCTACTTTCTGGAGAAGATATCTTCTGTCTTTCTTCTCGAATCTTTAAAATTGAACATACTACTAAATCTATTGACATAAC